TTATTATTATTATTATTATTATTATTATTATTATTATTATTATTATTATTATTATTATTATTATTATTATTATTAGTGTTAGTTTTAGTATTAGTGGCAGAAGAACCAAAATATGAGGAAATGACGTTGAATGGAATTGTTGGATAAGCGCTAACAGCTAATACTGCTGATGATAATGTGGAAGATGATGTGATCTTACTATTATCATTACTATCACTATTAATATTATTACCAATATTACAAATACCATTCTCACCAACATCAACATTACCATTATTATCATTATTTAATACTGTTGCCAAATTAATTTGATTACCAAGTAAATTTTGACCTTTTATTAGAGCATCATAAGCAATTTGTTGTAATGTGTTTAAACCTTGTCTACTCAATTCAATGCTTTTATTTGTTGCCTCTTTTTGTGCCAATCCAATAGCCGAATCAATCTCTTGTTCATGATTTGTTAATGTCGGGTTAACGAATTTATTATATAAGAACGCTGCTCCCTATGAATGAATATCATTAATTGGAATAATAATTAGGAACATATAATATGAATATATTAATAATAATTAGATTATATATCACATATATATAATGTTTACCTCCGAGTGAGGGTAAATCAACCATAGTATAAAAAGCATTTTAATTTCATAATAAAATGGAAACCAAAATATAAAATGATCGAAAAATCCTTCCCACATTGTAAATAATGCCATTATGATCCAATACATTAACCACAGTTTTATAGTTTTAACATCATTTGTTTTAATTGCTTTGAATGATGCATATGTTGGATACAAGAATCCAAAGAAATTACTGTAAAGTGAATGAGAAAAAAAATAGTGAATTGATGAATAGTTAATTAGTTGGTTCACGAATTATATGATGAAAGTCTTACCGTATAGGCTTATAAAATAAAAAGCCAAACATTTTTATGTATATATTCAACAAAGTTAAAAAAAATATAATAGTTTATAAATATTACAATTACTAGATTTATTTATTCTAAAAAGAAAGAATGAAAAACAAAAATTATAAAATGAAAAATAGTTTGGTTACTAAAATAGTAACCTGCACATTTTTTTATCATTTTTTAATTTTTCATCATTAATATTTTTTCATTATTCAACAAATTGGGCAATTCTGTTAAGTACAATAGAAGTGTCTGCGGCAGACTTGCTCTATTAATGGCAGATCATAATCAAGTCTCGAGTGTGGGGCAGCCCACTTTTGTGATTGGTTTTTATTCAACAAATACTTCATTTTTATTTATGGTCAAGTTATAATGAAAAATTTGAATCCTTAAGCAGAACCTCTATGTAGGAAACAAACATGAAGAATTTTTAGATTTACTTTTCCGATACAACAATCTTGGGCTTTAATACTTATGGTAAAAGTTCTTGATTTGGTATTGAAACAATGTATTAATCACTACGCACCTTAAATCAATGGTGTAATGATCACGTTATGAACAAAAGGGGGCTGGTTAGTAGTGGATCGCAAAGTATCTAATATAAATTTGGTTCCTATGAGAACATGGGAGGAATGGGTACTTGGAATATTTCAAAGATTATGGCATAATGGATGAGAGAGACTTTTGAAAAGTTTAATGTATGTAATTGAATATACTTTTATTCTAGTGTATTGATATCAAGTTATAAGTTAATATATTACCAAATTTGTTCTTTCTGCTAATAACTTGAGATTCAATGGGAGGGACTGAGAAGTATGGTTAATTGAAAGGAGGGTAATTTGTCCAATCACCACGAATTTTTAATATATGGTTTTGCGATTACTACTCATATTCACGCTTTATATATCCGAGTAAACCATTCAACCAATGTAATGTGCATAATAATATTAATTACATGTGGAGTCGTATTTTTGAAACTTGAAAGTGATTACGATCGAGATTACATTTTAGCCGAAACTAGTTAATTCAGTCAGGAAATATACCAAACATGGAAATGTATTTCCCGTTGCATTTTTTTTTTTTTTTATAATTTTACTATCAGCTAATGTTTTGTTTGATGGTCTTTCTACTAAAATATCCAGAAAGTCAGCTGGTACCATGTAAAGCTGGGAAGGAACAAAAATGGAGACATACATTAAGATTAGCAGCAAAACTATTTCCTGAATTATCTATCTTTGTTATATAATTATTTAGAAAATTATTTAATGTTACAATCAAAATAATTGTCATCTGAGAAATTAATAATTTTTCTGAAGAAAATTTTCAACAAAAAAAATTAAGGCATACACCTTTCTCTTGTTTTGACCTATAGCGGATAAAACATCAACTACCTATTTGCCTCATTCACCGAGAAATATTTATCCAAAGGGCCAGCTGAAACCACGCGGAGAAATATATTAAAGATGCAATAGGAAATAAAGTAAAGGAATGCATAGAACTATTTACCAAGTATTTCCCAGAATTATCTTTATTAGCCGAATCCTTATAATTATTCAGTTTGTATAAGACATCATAAACAAATTGTTAATAACAATGGTTTATTTTAATTGTATAAAATATGTTTTACTTAAATATGTAATAATTAATTGTTTATTTATTCATTTTTTTATTTGGCTCTATCCTATTATAATAATAATATTTATTTACTAGAAGAAAATACACACGCATATATATACCACGAATCAAATATCTATAAACATTCTAACAAAATAGGTAATTAATTTACCTAATTTAAGCTGAATCCTCTCAATTGTTATGCCACACATTACAAAATTTATCCCGTTATTATTATTATTATTAATTCGTTTTGATGATTCTAAAAAGGTATCTTCTTTCGCCAGTAACTTCTATTCTAACTATTCTAGGCTCCAATATTTTGTTAAAGATCCATACCTGAAAAATATTTTTCCAATTTATCATATCATCATCATTTGATATATGATGTATACACTTATTAGGAAATGATGTCCAAAGAGAGAATTGGGTAATTTAAGAAAAATATTTGCTATGAGCCTCAATTTTTTTATTATAAATGAAATATATAATTTTTAAAAAATTATGTATTAAGTTATATATTATTCAGACAAAATTTCAGATACAAAGTAAACTATCATCTGAACCTTGAAAACTGTAATGAGATAAATCCATTCTATTGTGAATAATTAAATCATAAGTTCCGCATCATTATTTTCTTCTAGTGACAACACTTCTATATCACTTTTATCTTTATCATCAGAAATATTTTCTTATTTTTAAATTTCGCCAAGTTCACTAACTCAAATAGGTGTATGTATTCAAACTCTGGTAGAAGATTTTGTTGTTTTATGGAATTAAAATAATTATCTGGTTTAGAAGCGGATCATCTAAGCCTTGTTTCTTGATCAATTTTATTGTTATAGAGTATCCATTAGATGATGCAAGGCATCGAAAAAGAATAACGGAACAGAAAAAATCGGAACTCGAGTCACGAAAATATATTACGAATTCATCAGGTCAAAAACTTCTTTTGAGAATCAATAATAGAAGTGAGTGTCTGGATAATGATGAAATAAAGTTGGCCAAGCAATGAAAAATTAACGAATCAAGTGCGAAGGAAGATTGGTTAAAAGGGTTGGTAAAGACATCAAAAAATGTATTTTGAATTAGAAATTAAAGTTTTTATTTGATTAACTTGTTAAATTTCTTATATAATTAGATTTTTTTAAAAAAGTGAATTTTATTAGTGAAATAATCAAATAGTTCATTTTTCTCTCCACTCTCTCCTTAACAATAATTATTATGATTTTTTCAATACTTTTTCGTAATAAGCATTACATACAATTTTTGCTTCATTTCCTAATTGAAGAAATTCAACATTTTTCCAAATTTTGAAAAAATTTTCTTTTGTCATTGAATTATACCATTTATTACCATCACCATCATAAAGAAACCGCAGAATCATTTCAAATGTTTCCGGGAATGGTACTTTTATTGTGATTATATCGCCGTTCGTTATTTGTTTGAGAATTTCTTGGAAAAACCTGGACTGCAATACCAAGTATTCTTTGTGTATCCAGAAAGGTTTATTATCGATTCCTTGAACTCGAAGCTCTGCAAATGCTGTTGCCTTATCACCATAGTAACTTGGTCCCAGTAATCTTAGCTTTTCGAGAATATACGTAACTGGAATACCATCAATCGTGTGTAATTGATTATAATTTTGAAGACTTTTACCAAAATCCGGCGATGATTGTTTATTAACTGATGATGATGATGATGATGATGATGATGATGATGATGATGATGATGTTATAGTTTGGGTTGTTGTTGTTGACATTTTGATTAATGTTGTGAAAGTTTGTTTAATTCTTAAAGTGGGTGATTAAATTTTTATTGATTAATTATTGATTGATTATATGTGTGATTTAATTTGAAGCTTAATTTTATATGTTTAAAAATTATTGATTATTTTTTTGATTGTTGATTTATTAATTTTAATTTTTTAATTATTTATTCGATGTTTTTTAATTTTAAATTTTTATTTAATTAATTTTTTAAATTTTTACAAAAAAAAAAAAAAAAAGGATTATTTATATAAAAAAAAATTTTTTTTTTAAATTAATTGTTGAAGATATTGTTCACGATGCATATAATCAACTTATATTATACATTATACAAATTAATATATGCAAGTAGTAACAAATGCAATTCAAAATAGGAACAATGTTTGAATAAACATTATACAATAGTACAGTCTGGAGCTTTTCCAAATTTGGAAGCTAATTTTAGAAAGAAAATTGGATCAATTTAAAACGAGCTAACCTGTTACTTCCTGTTACTTTTATAAAATTTTTTTTGTATTGTTGATTTATTCAAAGTATGCTTTTATAGAAATTTATGTACTCGTGATTTGTTTTTGGATTTTTTTTTAACCTTTAGTGGATAAAAAACGAAGACCATCTGCTAGTACTTTACCTTGCTTATTTTTCCCACTAGAATATTCTAAATATTCAGAGAACGAGCATCAAGAGATAAAATAAAGGATCACGTCAAACTATTTACCAGGTATTTTTAACAATTGAATCTTTATATAATTACTTTATTAGTGTAAAACATTATAACCAAATTGCTTTTACCTGAATTTAAAAATTCATTCATATATATATGTTCATTCATTAATAATATCATTTAATAATCCTTTTTTTATTTTCTTTTTTAAGGTTGAATGAATGAAATAACTTTATTCTGATGAATGATAGCTCTTCATTATATTTTTTAATTACCATAATTGTAATATAATAGAAATTAATTATAATTTAAACAATTGACTACTATTGATATATCTGGACAACATGCTATATAATAATTCCAAAATGGCATCCTCGACATCATGGTTATGCTTGCTTGCATGATAGTTAATTTTGACCATTCAATAAAACTCGAGTTTTCCAGATCAACATAAAATCTAGTCAATCATTTTTTCTAAATTAGATTTGTTGTACGTGAAAATTAAAGTTAGCCAACCAAAAAGGAGTTTCCCACTCAACTTCACATATGGCGCGCGGTCTAAACACAGGACCCCGGATTATTATAAAGTTTTTTGCTGAAGTTACATGTAAAAGTAGTGTTGGTCGCCAAAACTATTTTGAAGAGGCAAAAGTCAAAACTAAAATTAAAAAGTTATGTCATGCTGGATGTTACCTCATTTATAATAATCCAGGCCCTCATATTACTATTACTACGCTATGCGGCCAAATTTTCAAATATATAGATATTAATATGTTGGCTCGGTCTAAAGACTTTCTATTGTTGTGTCATGTGACCAAATTTCAAAAAATAGCAATTTTGCTAATTCATTAAAATTTTTTCAAAAAATAGGACTTCACGTGATTTTAGTTTTAAAATTATTCTTACTGCCAAATTTTAAATATGATAATCGTGGGATAGTTGAATTTAGTCTAAACTTGGTAATGATCTAGCGGCCAAATTCCTCGTGAACATATATAGTAAAATACATACATTAAACTAAAGCCCTATCCTATCAACCAATAACGCTATTTTTTTAAAAAAGTAGGACAGAAAATGGCTTTTATACTTTTTAAAATTTATGCAAAATTTAGGAGGTTTTTAGACCGAGCCAATTATAGCACTTTCCAAAAATAATCCAGTGATTGACCAGCTAAACAGAATATTTGTAAAAAAAGTATATTTTAACTTTGAACCCCTATAACCCCACAAGATTTTTCTGACTCTCCCAGTTTGAAAGTCGCGTGTCTTTAAAAGATTATAATTTAGTGGTACCTTTAAATGTCCTGCACCATATTAATATTAATTATTATAATTATTAATAATATTTTCCATTTTTAAATACAACATTCCGTGATTTCTGCAGTATTCCACATTCACACATTAATATTTTCATCAGGAACTGGCGTTATTTTCTTATCTAAATATCCGGGGGCTTTTCAATAGAAACGGATTATGTTGCGAAGATGATGTAAGAGGTTTACTGTTTTTGAAACTTTAAAGAAAAAATATTTCAATTAAGCTTGTCCCCCATAATCAAATATCAAATGTTGCAATGTTGCAACAAAACCATAATGTTACAACTTTTACATATTATGCATAGTGTTGCAACATAAACACAATGCAGTTAGACCGCTTTTAAAAACATTATTATTCTTCTTATAAACATAAACAAAAAATTTGAGTTCGTTTATCAATAAAGCATGTGGATCTCCATTTTCGTCTATATTGCTTTTCTTGAAGGGGTTGATATTCAAGATTTAATGCTTTTAAAAAATCAATGAAGAACGGGTTTTCTACAAGGGGGAAAGGTAATACACACATAATAAACATCATAACTAAAGCTTTATCGATTGTTTTATGCGTGATTCTTCTAAATCAACTGAACAAAAATAACCATCAATATGATATTCTCCAGAATGTCCGGGAGTTTTTGCTTGTTTAGAAAATGTTGACTTTGTAAAATCAATTCATTTTTGATAGTTCAGATGCTTTTGAGCATTGAAAAACATGGGAATGTAAAATATATGGTCGGGCATCTTTAAAAAATGACAAACACGGCTTACATGTAACTTGGTAATGTCCATTACCAAGATGATTTACCACGTGTAAAATATTCCTATATTTTGGACCAAATTTATTTTTGTTATCAGACATCATCTTTAATTATTATATTCGTGGGAAAAAGAAGTGATATAATTAGAAAAGTAAGGATCATACTTTTTTATTTGTATAATAAATATTACATCATTACGGTTAGTTGCAACACCAACCCTCAAATGTTGTATTGTTGCAACACGAGTTGCAACACCGTAATACCGTAATACCGTAATTTTACATTATGGGTGCCAACTCTAATTTCAATGCTTTACTATGCAAACTGAGTATGGTTTCTAAGCCAAAAATGTTCCATCTATATATCAATTTCATCCAAACGTTTACTAATGTTTGAGTTGTTGCGTTTTCGTATTCTAGTATTGCATCAAAAAGTAATCCTTGCTATAACGAGTTAAATTCATATTAAGATTTTGAGCATCTTGAACTTTTGATGGGTTTCATTTAAAGAAATACTTCCAAGCAATGCTTCTTCTTTTACTTTTTCCTCGTAAATTATTTATTTGTTAGTACAAGTTTGAGAACTAACGGTATTTAAAGATGATGTTGTTTCTAAACTTGGAGTAGGCTACAAATATAACAATCATGATTGTTGTAATAGCATAATTTTTTGGCAAGTGAAATAAGTGAGTTATAAGTAAAAGGAAAATTTTTCAATTAATCAATCAGTCAAAAATAAATTTTTTGAGCCAACAGGATTTATTCAGCTATTAATTGATTTTCCTGCAAAAATAATTCAGAAATCTGTCCTATTAAAGCTGTGTTGACTTCAAAGATGCCATTTATTGGTGTTAATGGAATTGATGCAATACAAAGGTGTCCAGAGTTGCATTGTCATATTTTCATGATTTTCCTGTTTAATAATATTCTCAAACCAAAAAGTTAATACAAAGACAAATTATCAAACACTCGTGTTAACATTTACAAAATGAGGCTGACTGCCATCTGACATTTCAATGAATATAAATTGAATTATTCATTTGAATTATTTATTCATTATCAAATTATTCGAATAAACTTTCAATGTAATTCGAATACTCATAATAATGAGGAACAAATAATTCGAATAGTCAAGGTTGCATGTGGCAGTCTTAGGCTTTGAGTATTGTGCATTGTAAGAGCAAATGCATTCTGCAACGGAAATTGACACCTTGATGCTGGTATGCCATTGATATCAAAATTTGCAACGCTTTTCTGAACGTTGATTTTCATCACATTGTTAGTTTTTGGGAACGTAACTTCCACATTGTCATCATCAACGACTTTAGTTATCACTCCTATCGTCCCATTGCAGATGTTGTGCTCGAACAGTTTGTTGTTCAAAGAACATGACCCTCGCTCCTTCCTGAATTGTAATAGATTTTCGGAGGTTCGTGTGATCATTGAAAGACAAGTTGCTAGACCACCATCGATCCTTTCACGATTTAAAGCGTCAACTACGGGGAAACAATAGGATCGGAGCACCGATCATCAAAAGGTAAGTGCTGGCAAACGAAGGCGTTTATTTGGTCTGATATTTCACGGGTACCAACAATGTGGGTGGTGCTTATCATCATCGGTGTTCATTCTGAACGCTTTGTAGTTGACCTCCACATATTCTTGTTCTTCTACATGGCACACAGCCTCTAAAGTCACCGTACGTGTCCCACTGGCTGACTTGATGAACATGGTTGATGACAAGATAGACGATATAATAGGTTTTTTAAGTGGATTTAATAACAAATAATCAAAATTAAAGAAATACTATGCAAAAAACAAGTGAGTAAAAAACATTCGAGAGGCGAATCGGTTTGTTTTTTATTCATTTATTTATTTATACATCGCAGATAAAGGTCAATTTGATCGATTTAGATGTTTTGTTCAAGTCTACATCACCATAGAAGAATAAGTTTTACAAATTTCGATTGTTAAAAAAATCAACTTCCCTTAATCAAAAAAAAAAAAATCTTCGCAAAGAAGTACTCTCTTGTGAATCAAAAGCCATTTGCGAATTTTGATTGTTAAAAAAAATTAATGTCATCATCATTATCATACGTATATCTTCCAACCATCATTCCAAATGAGTGTTTTTTAATATCATCATCTATGAGGTTAGTATTTTCGTTACAATATCCTTTAAATCGAAAGTTAAAAAATTCTTCATTATTGATTCAAGTTGTTGCCTCTCCAATAAATAAGGTTTTTTTAACATAATTTACTTCTCGATAAAACATAACACAGTGATGATTGATGTCATTTTTTAAAATTAAAAAAATGATTATGGATAGTGCATGTTAATATGTGTATATATGTATTTAAAAAGCTTTTTACCGCAGATGAAACTTTCCATTTTTTAACATTAATATTAACGTTTTTTTTTTAACTTAAAAAAGAATAATAATTCCACGTTACTATTGTTTACTATTTACAAAATTTACAAATATTTATTCTACCGCCAGTTTTTTTTGCACTAAAGCAGAGCAGTTAAATTTTTTTTTTTTTATGAATGGTTGTTCTCTCAAAATGAGAAAAGTCATGAAGAAAAAAATTTTGATTGGCACAAAATATTGCGAATTATTCTCTGAATGGAAAATTGGAGTTATTTAAAACAATATCTATGAAGCCACGCAGATTTTGATTTAATATTAACATTAAAGGAAAAAGACATTTTCTGCTTGATAATGCTGTGCCATAAAAATTAAATCAAAAATCTTTTTTTTTTTTGTTTGTCCATTAAAAAAAAATATTTGGGTAGCTTATTTATAATGACAATAATAACCAAAGCATAGGCTTTAATTTTGTGCAACTTCAAAATCCAAAAAAGGTTTTATCGAAAATACTAATTAAATAACAATAATTACATTTTACTAAAAAAAAATTTTTTTTGAACAAAAAAAGAAAAAAATAGGCTACACCGATCTTATTTGTTTAACAAATTTACAAATATAATAAAAAACCACAAACAATTTTTAAAGATGGAAAACACTTTGGATGAAAATACACACCATTATGATGTTTTTAAAAATGATGATGAAGATCTATATATTAGAAAAGAAAAGTATGGGGAATGTCCAACCTGCAATAGATATAATACCAATTAGACATGGTGTTAATCATGTGATCCAAAACTATTGACTGAAGGATGGACTAGTGGCAATGAAACATTAGATAATTTGATTAAAAGTACACAACTTAAAGCAACTAGTTATTGTTATGGTGATCATCTTCAATGGATTCCTTATAATGATTTAACAAATATTGAAAAGATAGGTGAAGATGGGTTTGCAACTATATCCAAAGCTACTTGGTTAAATGGTATGAAATATGCAATTAGTAAAGAAAGAAGTATCTATGATAATACTGTAGCATTAAAAAAACTACATAATTCACAGAATATTTCTGATGAATTTCTTAATGAGGTAAATTATTTTTTTATTTATTTTCAGAATTTTTTAATATTATTCTGAAATTCAATATATTTTTTTTTGTAGTTTAGAAATTATGGTAGACCATTTATAAATATGATTTATGGATTAACACAGGATCCAATTACAGAAGGGTATATATTTGTAATGGATTATATAGAAGATGGAAGGCTTCAAGATTATGAAGATCAATATAGTAGATGTAAAAGATATGGGGAATGTCCAACTTGCAATAGATATAATACTACTTCAGCATGGTGTCAATCATGTGATCCAAAGCTATTGACTGAGGGATGGACTAGTGGCAATGAAACATTAGATGGGTTGATTAAAAGTATGCAAGTTAAAGTAATCAGCTGTTATAATTGTTATTATCTTCAATGGATTCCTTATAATGATTTAACAAATATTGTAAAGATAGGTGAAGGTGGGTTTGCAACTATATTCAAAGCTTTTTGGTTAAATGGTGATATACATCTAAATATAACTAGTAAGAGAAATGAAAGAACTAGTAGTAACATAATGGTGGCATTAAAAAATTACATAATTCACATAATATTTCTGATAAATTTATTAATGAGGTAAATTATTTATTAATACTAGTTTCAAATATTATTGTTATAATTAAATATTTCATTTGTTATTTTAGTTCAAAAATTACACAAAGCTTCATGATAAAGGGAATATAATTTGTGTTTATGGATTAACACAAGATCCATTTACAAAAGAATATATATTTGTAATGGAATATATAAATGATGGAAGTCTTCAAAATTATTTAACAAAAGAATTTAAATATTTACAGTGGAAAGATAAGATTGATATTCTTCATGATATTATTAATGCTTTAATAAATATTCACAAAGAGGGAATTATTCATCATGATCTTCATAGTGGTAATATTCTTCAAGATGATGAATGGGATTCATATATTACAGACTTGGGATTATCATGTCCAGCTAGTCAAGCACCTGCATCAAACAAAAATGATATATATGGAGTACTGCCATATACTGCACCAGAAGTTTTAAGAGAGAAATCATATTCAAAAGCATCAGATATATATAGTTTTGGAGTTCTGATGTCTGCAGTATCAACTGGCCAACAACCATTTAATAACTTGGCACAAGATGAATATCTTGGAATGAAAATATGTGAAGGTGTAAGACCTGGATTCTCAAACAACACTCCAAAACTCTATATTGAACTAGCATTCAGGTGCATGGATGCTAATCCATATAAATGTCCAACTGCTGAAGAAATTTATGAGATTATTGATATTTGGTGGGATTCATCAGATGATTCTGAATATTATAAATATACAAACAAACACCAGGATGAATTAAAATCAATTAGAAAAAAATTTGATGAAATGGATAAAATAAAATTTGATCCTTCAACAATTACTGCAACAATTCATCCAAATACTGTTTATACTACCAGATTATTAAAATTTATAAGCCTTCCCCAACCTGTGAATTCCAATAAAGTGACAATTATTGGTAATAATAATGGTAATTATTAACATTTAGTCATTGATTATTTTCATCCTTTATTAATTTTTAAAGTTAAAAATATCCACTCTTGTGATAAATATTTTGTAGATTCTAAACAAATTGATTTAGCTATGCAAGATGACTTGAATAAGTTAAATTTTGTCACTTTATTACATATTAAATTATTTATTATTTATTTTTATTTATCTGGCTACTATAGTTGTGATTTTAAATATCTTGAGAATGATATTATTATATAATAATTTCTTTGGATTTTTTTTTTCATTTTGAAATTCAGATGTCAAATATGCACAATAAAATAATTTTTGACAAAAAAATGAATGTAATTTTTAATAATCATAAACATACACAATTGTGGTGTTATTTATTTCTTACCTTTTTGAATCAATGCTTCATTTTTTTATAGCATTAACAAGTTGGAGTGATGTACTTATTGATATATCATATAATATATGGAAGGTTCTCTAGCAAAAACCGTCTGAGAAACATAATGAACCAAAAATTTGTTGCTATTTTTAAAATAAAAAAATTCCAATATTATTAATATTATTTTATTAAAAAAATATTCAAAAGAAAATATTTAAATCACTTGAAGATTCCAAAACTTGGCTAATTAATAATTTAATGTATTATTTTTAATATGTAAAGAAATTTTTTATTGCGCGTAACAATAAAAATAGGGTATGTAGTTCTATTTTTATATTTGCACGAATTATTCTAAAGAAGGTATCTGGCCTACAATTCCCCATTTTTTTATTAAGCAAGCAGGTAATATTTTCACCAATTATAGCTTAAATTTGACCAGGAGACGGAACCAGTTTTTGTTAGAGAATCCCTCCCCATACATGCTGCAACAAAACCAGGCAAAGTGAACATGGGTGTTACCAATGATTTCAGGGATCAAAATTTAGTCATTTGTAATATGATTATATAATTAACAGTTTTATAATATCCCATTTGTTATCTTAAGTGATAGATAGAATTATCCCTATATAAAAATAGTTAATATGAAGTTAATTTACATTAAGTCTACCATGGAACCCAAGAATTATAGCACCATTAGAAGTATTTTGAAAAAAATTGCACCTTATGTTTTCAAAACAAATGATACTCAGACACTGGAAGCTTATCTAAGGAAAGAAAGGATTATTTATGAAATTTACCAAGAAGAAAGAAAAATAATAAATGATAGCATCATGATGATGCATTATTACCTAACAAAAAGCAGAAATCTTTTGAAAGAAAGAAAATAAAATGCAATGAATCTGATTATTGAAGATCTATTTTTTTTACTGACAAAGAAAATTCTCCTTTATGCAAATGTAATTAACAATCATCACATTGCATTGCTTATTAATATAAAACATTGTTTGAGTTGTTTTAACAAATTTTACATTCACGAGTATGTCTATGAAACTTTGTTTTTCTCTGATTGGTATTGAAACAAGGTAAACAATCCTGCCTTATGTTAGATCATTATAAAAACATCACCAGATCACTTATTATTATTCAGATAAAAAAAATCAAATATATAACAAATTATTTAATAATTGTTAAACACAATTAAAAAAAATAATTAATAAATATTTACAAATTTTCATCCATAATTACATTTTTAAAAATGCTCACTTTCTTTTTATGTGGGTTATTGTTTGGATTCTTGCTTGGATTCTTACTTCATTATAAAACTTATAAAATCAACTCTATATTATAAATCAAAAAATTGATCAAACATTTGATAAAATAGAACTAAGAAAAAGCCAATTCAAAAATAAATTAAGCAAATTTATTGGTGATAAAAAATATTCACAAGAGATAAAAGGATTTCAAACAATTATTTGACAAAAGACTGAACTGAATCCCGATTTTCATTTAGTGAAATGGCCATTGAAATTTGTCATGAATTACTTGGAGAAGGAAAAGGTGTTGCTACTTCCACAATAAAAAACAAAAAACAAATCCTAGAAGGAAAATGATAGAAGCAATTCAGGAATGGATCAACAAAGAAAAGAAGAAAGAAATTGAGAGAGAAGTTGATGAAGATAATGAAAATGAAGAAAATACAAATATTAATAATAACAATGTTGATAATAATAAAAATAGTAGTAATAGTGAAAGTTAGATTTTTGTCAGAGAGCCCAAAGAACAGGTAATACTTACAAATGGCTTTGGGCCTGAATATTTTCCTCCTATGCAAGTGTTCAGACAATTCTTTAACTTATATTTTTATAAATTATTTTTCTATTATTAATTGAATTAAAATAAAAATAATTTCTTTTGTCATTGTTGTATGTGAAAATGAAATTATGTGAATTTGCAATTCACATATGTGAAATTCAAATTGGCCAATCAGAATTTCACCCCACTCCACAATATTTCAATTTCACATACATCATCATTAAATCATTGCATACATTGTATATATGTAAAAAGTACAAGTCATGTGCCCACTAATTTATCATTGGTCCAAATTATTTACAGAAACAACAATTATGATCTAAATCAATAAATAATAAAAAAAAATTAATTCTACAATCTTTTTTTTTAACAATGGTGACAATTTCTGACGAAATTAAAAACCAAATCAACATTGCACTTGAAGAGCATAGAAAGGCCGATGAAGAGTTAAGACAGTGGAGGGGGAAGTGGGAAGAGAAGTTAAACAATCTGAAGAGGGGAAGAGAGAAGGAGGAATACAGAGGTGAGAAGGAGGAGTTGGAGAAAAAAGAAGAGGACTTGGAGAAGAAGGTAGATGATTGGGGAGAGCAAGTGCGATACTTGCAAAAAAAATTCACTGAATTTAAAGAAAATGGTAATGAACAAATTGTCTAAAAAAATATACAAAAAATTATTTTCCATTTATTCCACTCATTTTTTTTATTTTATTTATTCAAATGGGAAACATATATTTTAACTTTATCCTGAATCAACTTTTTAATTTTCCTGTTCATCTTTTGTTCATTAACAAAGAATCAGGTAAGTCAATTTTTATGATGAATATTTACATTTGTGAAATGTAACTAACTTGTGCTCTTTTTTCTACCTTTTTTTCTGTTGTTATTGATCATTATTTGTTTTGGGAATTAATCTTTTTCATTATCTAGTTAGACAATGTAAGCCATTTTATATTTTATTTGTTATTTTGATTAGCTTGTAAGCTTTAAGAATTAATACTGTTTTGATATGTTGTGTTATATTTTTTTTTAATAATACATCAGTACCAACAATTTACAACAAAACAAAAATCACTGATGCTTTTCCTGAAGGTATCTATTTAACAATTCTTGCCAGAAATTTGCCCTTCTCACATTGAAGCTGACTGCACATACCATTTATCCACTAGGCTTACCTTACATTAAACCAAAGTCTTTAGTCACCTCTTCTGGTTTGAAATGGCAATATCAACTAGATCCATATTTGAAAGACACCTTACAAGAAGAAACTGAAAAGCATTATTCCCATTTCTGTAATGGTGAGAATGATAAAATACATAGGCCAATTTATCTTTTTTTCTCTGGTGCTGGCACTGGAAAATCCAGGAATGCATCTGAATTTCATAATACATTAATCAAATGTTTGAATTGTTCAAAGAATTTGGAGCTAAAGGAAAAAATTCAAAATGCTTGGGTATTTAACATTAGCTTAGAAAATGGCACCAGCTTTTCTAGGAGTGTTGAGTCAGTTGGTATTTTTGCTGTTGGAATTCGAATGTTTTGGCAACTTTTTCCAGATTTTGAGGATTTTGCACGTTTTATTCATACTTATGAGGCTCCAACCCCATGGGAGGTACTTCAATTGATAGCCATGTATGAGAAAAAAGACATGAAACAAATCTCAGTTATTTTAGTTGTTGATGGCCTGCAGAATTTCATGACAACACTAGATGATGGGCTTAACCAAGATTCTGCATTTTATCAGACTCTAACAGAAATTGGAGACCTTGCATTGAGTAATAATATTTTCTTGATTCCATGTTGCACTGCAACAATTTCTCGCACAGTAAAATCCATCTTGAAACCAACAGGTCGATTACATATAGATTTACCAGTAATTTCTCTTCAACCTCCAACTACCCTTCAGAACAACATTGTTGTACCTGTTTTTCAACAGGACAATCACATCATTAAATTGCTTGTGGATGATTGTGGAGGACATGGAAGAGCTCTTGAAGTGCTTGCAGAAACATTGGAAGATACAAATATCAATGAATGCAACATTGATAATTTGATGCATCATTTATGTTCTAATATTATTTGTCGTTATGAAGATGCTTTCAATATAACTGCTTTAGAAGCACAGACTATTGCACGATTAATATTGACCAGAAAACTTTTGGATCGAAACAAATATGTCCCCAATACAGACAAATTACCAGACTCCTTTGTTCATCCTGGATTAATTCGATTTGAGAGAATAGGAAATACTGCTGAGGGATATTTTGAAGCACCATACATTTGGGTCTGGATAATGGCACAGCAAGCTGCAAAAAATGGAGATCCATTACTTAAAGACTGGCAATTCTGTGATTATAGAGAGCACAGCTCAGTATCTGATCGAAGGTTGCCAGTGGGATCTCAGTTTTGGAATCATTTTGAACATTTCATTGCAACTTTTCGTTCATTAAAATCTAAGGTACTATGTGAAAATGAGTTAACAACAGTTTCAGAAATTCATGCTGGAGCACGTCTACATTTGAATGATGATTTCAAATTCAAGAACCATCATCTAAAATTGGAATGTGCTATTCATCATGTGAATACAAATTCTGCTACTTATGATAAAAGAATGGATATTGAATGTGAAGGTACATGTGTCAATGTTCGGGAAGGTAAACACTGTATCATAAATGCACAATCTGCCCCATATGGTGATTCTTTTCTTGCATTAGACCAATCAAAAGATAATAATCCAAATGAAGTTCATCAAGCTAAAAGGTGGAAAAAAAAATCACTTTCTTTGAATGATTATCAAAATGAACGAAACAAATCTGCATGTGATAAAGATTTTTTTATTCTTTTTACAACTGCCCAAAACTGCAATTTTGAACTTCCAATGAACTCTGGGATTGTGGATGGCCTCAAATGGAAAGAATACTTTGGGCCATTTGCTGGTAGAGCACATGTTTATGCTATTGTAGGTCCATTGAATATAAATACTGCAACTTATACAGAGCTCATGACAATTGATGGCATTGGTGCAAGTCGAGCAGGCAAAATTATCAAAAAGCGACCATTTAAAACCCTTGAAGATGCAAAAAGGGAAACAGGTATACCAGAAAAGGCATTGAAAAGATTAAAATTTCCAGAGGAAGATTAATGTATGGCAATTAAATTCTTGTTAATTGTTCTTGTGGATATAATCTATTATATAAATCTAATATAAATATGTGATGTAGAATTTATAAGTCATAATGTATCAGCACCTTTTTTTTCTGCTATATTTTATAAATAAATCTGTTTATTTTCAACTTTAATAATCATATCATGAATTTTTAATTGCGCCTTTTTGCACAAAATAAATATTTCCTCTAACTACTCGCGTAACCAACTTTGGATTATTAATTATTAATTTTATCTTTTCTGACTATTCGCGTAACAACAACTTGGATATTATTAATTAATTTTTCAATCGTGATAAAGGAAACATTTTTTCTGACTATTCACGTAACCAACTTTGGATTTTTAATTTTAATGTGAATTAATTTTACAAAGAAGCATCTTTTCTGACTATTCGCGTAACAAACTTTGGATTATTAATTTTCAAGAATTAATTTTTTATTAATCACGATAAAGGAAACTTCTTTTCTGATTATTCGCGTAACAGACTTTGGACTATTGATTTTTCATAATTTTTCAAGAATTAAATTTTTTTATCAATCATGATAAAGGAAACTTCTTTTCTGACTATTCGCGTAACAAACTTTGGATTATTAATTAATTTTTTATTAATCACGATAAACGAAACTTCTTTTCTGACTATTCGCGTAACAGACTTTGGATTATTAATTTTTTCATATGAATTATTTTTTTATCATCATGACAGGAAAATATCTTTTCTGGCTGTTCGCGTAACAAACTTTGGATTATTAATTTTTCATATAATTATTTTTTTATCATCATGACAAGAACAAATTCTACTTACATAAATCATGTAGTTAAATAAAATCTATTATTCAAACAAGCCCTTCTACAAAGAATTTTGAATTATCAATTCAACATCTTGGCACTTTAACTTGCTTCTTGATGAACTTCTTGTATTTTGATGCTGAGGATTGAGTAACATCAAATTAATTCAAATAGCCTTTGAAATTCCTCTCTCTCTAATTTTTGACATGTAATAATTTCTGAAAAATAATAAAAATTCTTTTCACAAAATAATAACAACAAATATATATTCCCAATTGTCAAAAATCAATACCTTTGTATTATCATTATTAACTTACACATCAATTTGACAAAATCTCACAATTTATTTGTACTGATTCAAAAGTTGCGTTTTTGATTGATTATTATAATGCCTCCTCAAAAGAAATTTAGAAACATTTGAAAAAGATATCATTAATATGTGTTGCAAGTCACAGATTAAAAAAAAAAAATATAATAAAGATTTGCCTAAATCTCAAGTTATTGAAATTTTGAAGTCTATGAGCTCCAACAAACTCCATGAAATCATCCATGAAATTAATTCTAATGAATTTCAAGAAATTATCCATTCAAATGGATCTCAAGAAATTATTTGTGAAGTGAATTCTGATGAACTATAGGAAACAATCCATGAAATTAATTTTGATGAACTTCAAGAAACCATCCATGTAGAATAGATAGAGATATATTGTTGTCTTGTTATTGACTTCCACTACCATCCCTCAACTTGTCTAGTTGATAGTTATGTTTTCAAAAATTTTATTTTTAAATTAGAATGTTTTTTAATGCTTCAAATTTACACATGAATAAAACTAATACCATTTACCTTGAGAACTCATTGGCAAAGAATTAAAAATAAATAATTTTCCTTTGAGATTTAATAATATATTTGTTATAAAAATTATTGTTTCTATAAAATATATCTTATATTAATACATATAATAAATTCTATAATGATTAGCATGCATTGATAAAATATTTATAATTTAATTAGAATTTATATATTCACTTACAGTTTTACTATTCTTAACCAGTGTTTGTATATTGTTTAATTAGCATTCACTTAGCATTTCTATATGTTCACTTATAATTTTACTATGTTTAATTAGTAATCTGAAAATAGGTTTGACTTTAAAGTTGTAATAACTCTAGCAAGAATAGAATAATTTTTTATGGTTTGTATATTAAATTAAAACTCAGAATCTTGAGAAGCTAAAGATATAAAATTTGTACAATTTTATTTATTTTTTATTTGTCTTTAATATGTGGCATACTTTTTTAACCGGATAAAATCAAAATTAGCCATTGTAGATTTGTGTTATGTATACTCTACCCTTAAGGGATAGTAATACTGATATATTAATATGGGAAAAAATCGAAATACACATTAATATTAATATGCATGATTTTTAAGAATCTAAACCATGTATAGTTGATCCGATTTTGAGATCCCTGCATATAATCACACAAATATATCAACTGACCTCTTACATGTTCTAATAATAGCCAAATTAGCTCGATTGCACATGAGAACACAAAAAGTAATGTATATGGATTAGATTACAAATGTAAACATTAATTTCACAATGATTTTTTTTGTGATACCGCTAAAATTATTTCATCTTACCATTAATCATGAATGATTAAAGTGGTCCCATTTACTTTGTCAAAAATCATTTCATTGACAATCATTTCGTCAACACCCATTTTGTCAAAAGTTTGTTTCATCGAAAGTTCATTTTGTCGAAAAGTTCATTTTGTCGAAAATTGTTTCATCAACAATCACTTCGTCAACAATCACTTCATCAACAATCATTTCGTCAAAAGTTCATTTTGTCGAAAATTATTTCGTCGACAGTTCATTTTGTCAGCTTATGTATTGTACTAATGATAAATGAGGTGATGATAGTGATGGCAAAAATATTGACATTGAATATTTTAGCATTGATAATAATTATTGTTTTTTATTAGTGTGTGGATCAGACAAATTGGTAATATTCCTTTCATGATACATAAATTTGAGTCATTTGTATACTTGCAAACTAATTAGCACTCTGATTTTACCTGAATTTTTCTTTCTTAATTACAATCATACAAATGCAAATT